TTGTTGTTGGGTATGTGTGACAGAGCCCTACCTTTGTTGCCGGGGATGTGTGACAGAATCCTACCTTTGTTGTCAGGCGTGTGTGACAGAGCCCTACCTTTGTTGTAGGGTATGTGTGACAGAACACTACCTTTGTTGCCGGGTATGTGTGACAGAATCCTTCCTTTGGTGTCGGGTATGTGTGACAGAATCCTACCTTTGTTGTCAAGTATGTTTGACAGAATCCTACATTTGTTGTCGGGTATGTGTGACAGAATCCTACACTTGTTGTCGGGTATGTGTGACAGAACACTACCTTTGTTGACGGGTATGTGTGACAGAATCCTACCTTTGTTGTCGGGTATGTGTGACAGAATCCTACCTTTGGTGTCGGGTATGTGTGACAGAATCCTACCTTTGGTGTCGGGTATGTGTGACATAATCCTACCTTTGGTGTCGGGTATGTGTGACAGAGCCCTACCTTTGTTGTCGGGTATGTGTGACAGAATCCTACATTTGCTGTCGGGTATGTGTGACAGAATCCTACCTTTATTGTCAGGTGTGTGTAACAGAGCCCTACCTTTGTTGCCGGGTATGTGTGACAGAGCCCTACCTTTGTTGTCAAGTATGTGTGACAGAATCCTACATTTGTTGTCGGGTATGTGTGACAGAACACTACCTTTGATGCCGGGTATGTGTGACAGAATCCTACCTTTGTTGTCAGGTGTGTGTGACAGAGCCCTACCTTTGTTGCCGGGTATGTGTGACAGAGCCCTACCTTTGTTGTCGGGTATGTGTGACATAATCGCACCTTTGGTGTCGGGTATGTGTGACCGAATCCTACCTTTGTTGCCAGGTGTGTGTGACAGAGCCCTACCTTTGTTGCCGGGTATGTGTGACAGAGCCCTACCTTTGTTGTCAAGTATGTGTGACAGAATCCTACATTTGTTGTCGGGTATGTGTGACAGAGCCCCACCTTTGTTGTCGGGTATGTGTGACAGAACACTACCTTTGTTGCCGGGTATATGTGACAGAATCCTACCTTTGTTGTCAGGTGTGTGTGACAGAGCCCTACCTTTGTTGCCGGGTATGTGTGACAGAATCCTACCTTTGGTGTCGGGTATGTGTGACAGAGCCCTACCTTTGTTGTCGGGTATGTGTGACAGAATCCTACCTTTGTTGTCAGGTATGGGTGACAGAACACTACATTTGTTGCCAGGTATGTGTGACAGAATCATACCGTTATTGTCGGGTATGTGTGAAAGAATCCTACCTTTATTGTCGGGTATGTGTGACAGAATCCTACCTTTGGTGTCGGGTATGTGTGACAGAATCCTACCTTTGTTGCCGGGTATGTGTGACAGAATACTACCTTTGTTGTCAGGTATGTGTGACAGAACATTACATTTGTTGTCTGGTATGTGTGACAGAATCATACATTCGTTGCCGGGTATGTGTGACAGAATCCTACCTTTGTTGTCAGGCATGTGTGACAGAATCCTACCTTTGTTGTCGGGTATGTGTGACAGAATCCTACCTTTGTTGTCAGGTATGTGTGACAGAATCCTACCTTTGTTGTCAGGTATGTGTGACAGAATCCTACATTTGTTGTCGGGTATGTGTGACAAAATCCTACATTTGTTGCCGGGTATATGTGACAAAATCTTACATTTGTTGCCAGATATGTGAGACAAAATCCTACATTTGTTGCCAGGTATGTGTGACAAAATCTTAAATTTGTTGCCGGGTATATGTGACATAATCCTGCCATTGTTGCATGGTTTTTTTTAACAGATTTATGTTTGACAAAGTTTTTGTGACAGCTTTCTATCTTTGATGACAGGATATTTGCTTTAGATACAATTTTTCTGACCGTAGTTTTTGTCCCATCTCATTCAATAAGAGTTTTTTGTGAGTTATTGCACGGTTTTTACCTATATTTCAACCCTTACCTGTAAAATGATATCCTCCTTGATTTATTTTTCCTTGTTGCATCTGTGACCAGTGTTCTAATGATCTTACATGCAAGACAAGACAGCTCCCCGCCGCTGTGTGGTCCCTACATGCAAGACCGCATTTGCCCTACAGCTCTCTACCTCTGTAAGATTGAACTCCCTTATTAAGTGCCCGTGTGCGGCTAGCATCGCCCTATCTTTGTGCCCTTTTAAGAATCTCAGATTTACTGTGCGCATAACTTTTATAACTTGCAGATTTGTACCTTTGTAAAGTTACCAGTTCACACCATACATTTTTAGCCCTTGTAAGATTGCCAAATCCCTTATCATTAGTGTCCTTGTAAGACTAGCATCTCCGGAACTTTGTGCCTTTTTGAGACTTACCAATTTCTAGAATTGTTAAGATAACGGCGAAACACCTTTGGCCTGCTCCATACATGTTTAGCCCTCGTAGGATTGCCAGCCGCCCAATTTTGTGCCTTTAAAAACTTGCCGATTCCTAAATAAGTGACCCGTTTAACACTTCCAGTTTCCTACCTTTGTTGCTCTTGCAAGGCAAGTAGCTCGCGATCTTTAAGACATTTTGATCCTACCTTTGTGGCCCGGATACGTGTGGAAACAGAAGACGGACTTGCTCGTCGCCTGGGCTGTTTTACTGTGAACAGCTCCCATGCTGTGACCGACTGGAAATCAGTTTTTCGGTAACCTGCAGGTTTTCCTGTGTATGTATCATTGTTCATTCTCCAAATCTCGACAAATTCTGCTTTTACAGCACAAATAAGCGATCAATACATATCTAGCTGGCCCTTTAAATAATTTAAATCATCGGCACACACACAAAAAAAAACATTATATACGTTCTCATCTGACTTGGTAGACGGGGAATATACCGCATTGCTATGACAATCCCGCTCCTGTGCCATTCGTAGTATAAGGTCACGGCGATGTACACCTCGCGACTGGATCAATCGACGTACCTACTACAGACAGACCATAAGTAATGTGTGATTGTTAGAGCTCTACCGTTCGTCAAACGCTCACGACTTCAATCTTACAGTCATTCGGTACTCCTATGGTTTCAACATTATCTTCGTTCCTTTGTGGCTTCCTGGCGTCAACACCTCAATGGCGTCACATCTACATACTACTCAGCGATATATATTTGTTAATGGAACAATTCCCTTCACCAAGATGAGATGATGGAGAGTGCAACTCGTCTGATACTAAGTCCATTAGCGCTTAGATTCGTCGTTTACAACACCCAGCAGTATGGCTATGGGACCTTCGAGACCAAAGGGAGGCCAACTCAGCTGTCGTTTATAGATATATGGATCCTGAAGATTAAAGACACGGTAATGGCATCCACAAAATCACAGGGGTTACGCTCAGGAAACGTAAGAGAGCGTAGTCCCTGGAATTTCGAGGATACAGTTTATGGAATCCCTAAACATCAAAACCGATTTCGTTCGGGACAACCTTCCGCAAAGTTATGAAACCACGATACCTCGATAGGTGTCGTTTGCAACAAACCTACAGCAAAGGTATGGTACACATCAATCAACAACACAGTAATAAAACCTTGGACAAAACATCAGGAAGCTTTCGTTTACATCCCACTGGGATAGTTACAAAGCTTTGGACACAGTCGTGGAACCGGATTCAATTTTGGAAACAGCTTCGTTCACACAAACTAGAAACACTCTTGTCGGGTATGTGGCCGAAACATGTCGCTCAGGACAGCCAACACCATATTTGTGGACCATTTTCACAGAACATATGGGGTATGGCGATAAAAACAAATTGTTCGCAGCAACAAGCAGTATATTTACGGTATATGGAGACGAAAACAATCAAACAATATCAGAACACTACTCTTGGACTATAGTTGTTATTCTGAGACTATTCCCAGACGCATTCAATCGATGTTAAGATGAGAAATAGCCTGGCTTACACTCTTTATGACAGCTAGCGATTTAGAAATGTCTATACTGCAGTATTTGTGTCATAAAAACAGACACATTAACATTGAATCCGAGTAGCATATCCTCCTTTACCTATATAGTATTGTTATACAACGCAGATTAGAGTATGCGCAGTGCCTTAAATCACACTTGTATGTTACAAACGAAGGCCACATTGGTGTTGACAGTGTTGGATCATTTCTAGTTTATATAGAGTAACATACTTTAAATACTTAAAGTACTATATTACACGTTCAACCTTCATCATCGATGATGACAGGATACCTGACAAATGGAAATCATTCATGCACGACGGACATGTATAATGACCTGTAGACAGACACCCCTATAACGTGGCCACGCAGAAGACTATGTCGTATCTGTTTCATTTCTCACATTATACACAATCGTGTCTATTTTAAACATTTCTATATAAATATTGTATTATCACTGCGTCAGAAACATCCTTGAGCTGCCTGCTTCACACAAACACGCGCCGCTCAGGGCGGTGTGAACATTCTGACGATTTCTGTTAACTGTGTTGTAAAACCAACCATGTGAATAATGTATGAATTATTTTTTTTAAGAAATACTTGCACACCGCCCAAGCAAGCGTTTAATATTATAGGTGTGTGAATGAAATAGGGCACACGCCCTTCTCAGTGGTAAACATGTCGTGTGCTGTATACACGTGTGTAGGTGACAGCTATAACCTAACTAAGTAATACTAAAAGTATACATTTAAATCAATCGAAAGTAATCCACGGGCTGACAACACAGCGGGGTTAGGATGTTTGGTACTAATACACAACATGCACACTAGGCTCTTCAGCTCAATGTGTGTCAATAATGAAAATTAATCAATATCAATTACGTGTTTTAATTAGTATCTGTGTTATTAATTAACTGCCACATTCCCTGAAGTGAAGGTAATGACTATGTATATAGTGCCCTACTCCACCTCTGTCGCTTTATCTCTCCCTCCACATAACACACCGGAGCAGAGTCGTACACACATGTGGCACATGCCTTTCATTATTCATACTTTTAAAACGCACTGCAATGTGCAATGTAAAAAAGGAAATAACCATGATTGTTTACTTACCAAAGTAGACGGGTTTTCCACATTTGGAACATACTGTATTCATTTTAGATAATCCTGACAATGGTTTCAATCACACCATGTTGACCGAGGAGGCTGGAGTGAGCCAGGCACTGGTGTGGGAGACGATCATCAAACCAACAATAGCCGAACCCAATCGATCGTGATCTCCTCGACTTCGATTTTCATTCCGTCCCACAGCAAACTCGACTGCTAGCACAAGTTAGCTGGTTTTGAACAGGCCGACTGCTCGCGCGCGCTATACCTACACAGTGTTAAGAATGTGCTGTCACAGTGTCCTTTACTAAACTATCCATGAAAAATCCCAGGTTAAATACATACACACTCTTCAACTATATCAAGCGCTGGCAAAATGTGTGTTGTAAATTCTTTCAGTGAGGATTAGATTTAGTACATGGGTCTGCGTACGTGTTGTCGTATCGATAGGACTTGGTGGCGTGGCCGACGACACACTAAAACAAAACACAGGTGTGGCTACAGCTACCATACTGCAGAAACCCGACACGGCGCTTCCCCCTCTGGTATTTCAGATTTCACAACAGATATATCTATTCAAAACCATTGAACCGAGCTAGATACAAACATTTGAAGAGGACACCGCTAGGACAGGCCGGATTGTCCCCGTAATACACTTACACCAGGACACTGGATTGTCACCCGGCCAGTAGGTCGTATATTATCGGGTACTGTTACACTTGGACAGTAGTCCGTAAACACCAGACCATGTACTCTTAATCCGGCACAGTAGTCTAAAATGCCACATACAATTTCACCGGTACAATATGTAATACCAGGTACACTTACACCGGTACATTATGTAATACCAGGTGCTCTTACATCGGTACAATATGTAAATACCAGGTACACTTACACCAGTACAATATGTACTACCAGGTACACTTACACCGTACAATATGTACTACCAAGTAAACTTACACCGGTACAATATGTAATACCAGGTACATTTACACCGTACATGATGTAATACCAGGTACACTTACACCGGTACAATATGTACTACCAGGTAAACTTACACCGGTACAATAAGTAAAACCAGGTACACTTACACCGTTACACTATGTAATACCAGTTACACCAGTACGATATGTAATACCAGTTACACTTACACCGATAGAATATGTACTACCAGATACAGTTAAACCGATGCAATATGTCATACCATGTACACTTACACCCGTACAATATGTAATACCAGGTACATTTACACCAGTACAATATGTACTACCAGGTACACTTACACCAGTACAATATGTAATACCAGGTACACTTACACCGGTACAATATGTAATACCAGGTACACTTACACCAGTACAATATGAACTACCAGGTACACTTACACCAGTACAATATGTACTATCAGTTACACTTACACCGTACAATATGTACTACCAGGTACACTTACACCGGTACAATATGAACTATCAGTTACACTTACACCAGTACAATATGTACTATCAGGTACACTTACACCGTACAATATGTACTACCAGGTACACTTACACCGTACAATATGTACTACCAGGTACACTTACACCGTACAATATGTACTATCAGTTACACCTACACCAGTACAATATGTTCTATCAGGTACATTTACACCGTACAATATGTAATACCAGGTACACTTACACCGTACAATATGTACTATCAGTTACACTTACACCAGTACAATATGTACTATCAGGTACATTTACACCGTACAATATGTAATACCAGGTACACTTACACCAGTACAATATGTACTATCAGTTACACTTACACCAGTACAATATGTACTACCAAGTACACTTACACCGGTACAATATGTAATACCAGGTACACTTACACCGGTACAATAAGTAAAACCAGGTACACTTACACCGGTACACTATGTAATACAAGTTACACTTACACCAGTACAATATGTAATACCAGGTACACTTACACCGTTACACTATGTAATACCAGGTACATTTACACCGTACAATATGTAATACCAGGTACATTTACATCCGTACAATATGTAATACCAGGTACATTTACATCCGTACAATATGTAATACCAGGTACATTTACACAGTACAATATGTAATACCAGGTACATTTACACCCGTACAATATGTAATACCAGGTACATTTACACCATACAATATGTAATACCAGGTACATTTACACCCGTACAATATGTAAAACCAGGTACAATTACACCGGTACAATATGTAATACCAGGTACACTTACACCGTTACACTATGTAATACCAGGTACACTTACACCCGTACAATATATAATACCATGTACACCTACACATGTACAATATGAAATACAAGGTACACTAACATCGGTACAATATGTAATACCAGGTACACTTACACCCGTACAATATATAATACCAGGTACACTTACACCCGTACAATATATAATATCAGGTACACTTACACCTGTACAATATGTAATACCAGGTACACTAACACCGTTACACTATGTAATACCAGTTACACTTACACCCGTACAATATGTAATACCATGTACACCTACACATGTACAATATATAATACCAGGTACACTTACACCCGTACAATATATAATATCAGGTACACTTACACCTGTACAATATGTAATACCAGGTACACTAACACCGTTACACTATGTAATACCAGTTACACTTACACCCGTACAATATGTAATACCAGATACACTTACATCAGTACAATATGTAATACCAGGTACACTTACACCCGTACAATATGTAATACCAGTTACACTTACACCGGTACAATATGTTATACAAGGTACACTTACACCGGTACAATATGTAATACCAGTTACACTTACACCGGTACAATATGTAATACCAGTTACACTTACACCCGTACAATATGTAATACCAGGTACACTTACACCGGTACAATATGTAATACCAGGTACATTTATTTGTAATGCCGGCTACAGTGGTCTGCGATACCAGGAAAATTATACAACGGTACAGCACGCGTACATATTTATAACAAATTCTCATTTCAGTTTTTTATATATCGTAGATACAAACATGTACATAAAATCTTAACTCTTCAACTCATCTCTATGTCAATCTAGTGACATATCAATATACTTACAGATAAACCAATAAGCACGTAATATATTTTCGCTTTTTATATATATATTTTTTGCGAAATTGCAAATTTCTGACAATAGTTATCATAATTCAGTTACTATTACAGGGCTTCTATAATTGGATCTTTGGTTGGTATCGGGAAATTTATAATAGAATGATATTTACCATTGATGTAAATATGGCACGCAAGGACAAATTCACATTTTTTGTGGGATATTTCAGTTCTATTTGTGTCAACATAAGAAGACAGTGTGACGATAAATGTAATTTTACAATGTTGCATTCATAAGTCAACAACCAAGCTGTTTATTATTTACATTTGTAGTACTTGAATGCTGGGAAACCCACCTGTTCATCATGCCTTACGATGTCGACTGCACGGTATACGCCTAAGGGAGATAACTCGTACACACAAAATTAATAATGGAATTGATTCGAAATTCAAACTTGTTTTCTCAAGGCCCTACGAATAATGATACTGTATGATCCTGATACCTAATGTCAACACTGTTGCTTCAAGCAGAGAAAGTTGAAAATCTTTTGTAAATATACATACAGATGAAGTAGGGAATTTCGGGATACATAGATCTGCCACATTGCCGATAATTACAATTTCAGCAGTTCTGAAACCAATAGACGGTTAATTATATCCGACTTTGGTCCCCTCCTTCGGAAAATCAGGCACTGACATTTGTTGACAAATCTTGTACACTGCTATTAATATCTTAGTTGAGAACTTTTCAATGTAAGACATTTATAGACAAATCGAGAGCGGAAACTGCAATCATTACAGTAATATAATGACTGGTAATGTCCAGCAACATTTGAAAAGTTCCCCAAGTAAAGCTGAGTCAGCTAAACAGGCCTATCTATACCACATCGATATACTTACTGTCAAGTAAAGCTGAGTCAGCTTAACAGACCTATCTACACCACATTGATATACTTACTGTCAAGTAAATCTGAGTAAGCTTAACAGGCCTATCTACACCACATCGATATACTTACTGTCAAGTAAAGCTCAGTAAGCTTAACAGACCTATTTACACCTACTGTCAAGTGAAACTGACTAAGCTTAACAGACCTATCTACATACTGTCAAGTAAGTCTGAGTCAGCTTAACAGGCCTATCTACACCACATCGATATACTTACTGTCAAGTAAAGCTGAGTAAGCTTAACAGGCCTATATATACCGCATCGATATACATGTACTTATTGTCAAATAAAGTGCCTTAATTTTCTCTCAACATCTGACTTGGAAATAAAATTTCATCGTTTGATCGCTTTTTGAGGTTGTCAAACTATTTTTTTGAGTGTATGGATTCCCTCTCTTCGTTAATTAAGAGATCCTTTTTCAATACCTCAAGTGACACTCACATGTATGGCAGAGAATACAGGACAGAGTGCAAACATATTGTCCCCTCCGTTATTACCGCTGGGGGACTAATGAGTATAGATAGCGGATAGGATTTGATACCAGTCGTATATAAATTACTAGATAGTGAATGAGAGGGTTTGGTTTGAGTCGTTTATAAATCACTAGGTAGCGAATAAGAGGATCGGAATCAGCCTATAGGAAGTATATGTACGTGTATAACCATATACGGTTGGTCAAAGGTTAAATGAGAGTTGTGTTTAGCTTTACAAATTATCTTCTGTCGTGGCGCTTAAACATCCAATACAAACAAACCCCTGATATCGGTGTAAACTTTACCTTACATTGTAAACGTCTTGCTTTCTTTTGGGCGATTGCATTTACATACACGTATAAAGGAATCGATAGAATGCCGATTGTAAACATTCCCACACTCTTTATCAACATATTCTCCTTCACGACAGCCTATAGTCGAGAAGAGATTCAAACCAGGTAAACTTTAAATGTTCAACATTTTTTCTCATTAATTGTATACGTATCAATGAAACCTGACGATGTGGCAAGGTGAACGTGCACCATTGTAAATCGCATTGATCAGTACATAGCAGGAGGCAGTCTGACACCGGTAGCAGATTACGCTATATAGATAGCGTAAAGCATGGACGTTTCCGGATTTCAATAGTCCGTTTTTGTATGAGCAATAGAAAGGGCCTGGTGACTTTAAAAGGCGAATATTGATGATCATGTAAACAAGCCTTTAAAACTCGGGAACATCAACTATGTGTTAGTGGAATATCAATCACACATGGGATGTTACGCTGACGGGATGTTTTAGTGAGGTATAAACCAGACGAGGTATGTTACGTCGAGAGGATGTGCTTTCCTAGGCCTGATTTACAGCATCTCTTAACAGACCAGATTCAGTAGTTGTTTCGGAAATCAATTCCATATATTAACATTGTTTTCTGGTGAATCAGTGGCGTTAGTGTTGACAGAGGAGATGACCTGTTAACAGTATCGTGAATGTATAATCCACCTGTAGAGAAGCTCCAGGTTTGTAGCTTAGAAAGGGAATATATATCAACGACGTTACGAACTGTTCGACATTCTGCGCTTCTTCAGAGTACAAAA